CTAGAAAGAAGATCTGGAACAAAGAGAAAAAATACACCAAGCCACTGAGATCAAAAATTATGTCTGTCATCAGCAGAAGAAAGGAAGGCAGTAGAGCGTGACACAAATGAAGCTAATGGGATGTGGTTCAGGAGGAAAAAGGCAGAAACCAGCTGTGGGAGAAAGAAAGATGGACTGTGAAATAGGAAACTGGTGTTAGACTGCCAGAGCATAGGAGATCTAAGAAAACAGTGGGCTGGTAGGAGAATTGAAAAAGATAGCAAGAGATCTGCAGCAAGAACTGACAAGTGCAGGGATTTGAACTGGTTAGCCCAGATAAATTAGAACTTGGAACAGAGGAATTAAAAGTGGTTGAGAAGACTGGGACTTCAGTAAAAGGCAAGGGATGGAGTAGAGCTAAAATTGCAACAGAAACAGACAGGAGGTAACAGAGGAAGAAGTGTGCAAAACTCACCAGAGCAGCTAAAAAGGAATCAGTTCCTGAGTCTGGCCACCTTTCAGTTGTGCAAAACCAACTGGCTAAGTATCTAGTTCCCCTCCAGCATGATACCATGCAGAGAAAAATAGCTACCACTTAATTTGTTATTAAATGAAGAGGCTTGAGGTTCTAGAACTAGATGTCCCAGTCTTTCTATGTATGTATGTAACCAACAGATACATTTTGATGTCATACAATGTGACTTTTTTTTTGAAGGAAAAGCAAATTCAAAAAGTGTATGCACAAAAAAAAAAAAGCAGAAGAGTTATGGAATTTGAAGGTTAAACAATTTTCTGTTACATAAGTAACTTTAATTCATCTTGTTTGTGCTTGTACATAAAGTTTAAGAATTCAGGAAGAAACCTACTATTTGTATTTTCTTGACCTTTACATGACCAAGTATTGCACTGGGAAAACACAACCTATCCATAAAAGTTTCTGGACCACTGTGAACTAGTTAGGAAAATAAATAAGGCTTTTCCTTTGTAAGTAAATGCAGGGAATAGAGTCTTGTCCCCAGGATACTGAGGGCAGGATTGACCTGTGACTAGTGCATGACTTTTTTCTTTCTTTAATATCACAGTTTGGTGACTGGACTTGGACAGGAAAATGAACAGTCCCCACAGCTTTTCTGCTTTGAGTGGTTCTTGCAGTTCATAAAGCAAAACTCCTGAGTCAAGCAGAGAAGATCGGAAGGGCACTGTTGTAGCACGGAATATGAAACTCATTGTAATTGGAGTGATATCTGGGATTCACATCAGGGAAAATAATCTTTTCATGCTTTATGCCAGAACATCATCTTCAAGGAAATCTGACAGCTTTAAAGTTGTCAGCACAAAGTTGTTGAACTTCAGACACAGGGTTAAATAAAGCTCACTATAAGTACTGCAGATAACTCAGTCTCGCCATCCATTTGCACTTTCTTGTTACTTAGACAGATCTGTCTATAACATTTATGTTGTATGAACACATATAAAACTGATTTTTAGGAAGTCCTAAAATTCCTTGTACCAGAAGGTAGGAGGATTTTTACTAAAAACATTTGTATATCTACAAAATACATCGATTGTAATACAACACAGATGCTTACTTTTTTCTCCCAGACAGCTTGTAAACATTGTAAGCTAGGAGTCTGAGAAGAACACAAGATCATTATTCTTTTCAGAAGTGCTTTAGCATTTTTAATGGCCATAAGTACATAGGACTTCATCTTAACATTTATGCTGAGCATATCTTGCAGCACTATGGATAAAACAGAAATAGACAAAACAGCTCTCCTGAGACACATAAACTCAAGATTTAACACAGTTTGAAAATCTGGGGCACTGAGGTAATGTTCCAAAACAGCTTCAAAGCCAGTCACCCTTGCAGGTGTTGACTACCCGTGGCCCTCTTTTTCCTTGGGCTTAATTTCCTGTTTCTTACAGAAGTGAGCTCTGTGCCCTTTCATTTCAACACCTCTAACAAATATCTTCCCACAAACCAAACCTTTTAAAATTCCTGACTTGTCCAAGCACTTGATTCCAGTAACAAGAGAGAAAAAAAAAATAAATAAATAAAAAAAAAATATGTATATATATATATATATATATATATATATAAAAACCTCACCATTTTCAATGGCTTCCAGCAAAATATTTTTCTTTTTCTAATAATTAAATCAAGTCTTCATTCTTAGCTGTTATCTCCCCCTTCCTGATGTGTCTAGCAAAACAGAGCTAAAGTTCTTGTCTGATAACATGGATTTAGTTGCTGTGACTAGTGCTGTTTCCTTTCATGTAAGCTGTTCTAGCCTGCATTGTTCTCCAGAGTTTTGCCTTCTGTTGCGTATAGTGCAGATTGGTCTTTTATCCCATTCTCTATTGTTTGGCAGATTGTTGATTTTTTTGTTATTGTAATGGACATCTTAATGGCCAAACTGCTCTAGGAAAACATTTCAGAGAAAATGAATGAATTTCTAGAGAAACTGTGCCACCCAGCAAATTGTATGGGCTGTTGCCTCAATGCCTTATTTGCTTTTCCTTGTTCGTTTAGAGGCCGTATTTACTCAGAAGATGTGAAGGACTCCTTCTTTAAAATGATTAAACTGATGGAGTCATTCTTTACATCTATGAGACAAACAGCTTTTAAACAGCTGAAAGAACATAATTGGTTAGGATACACTAAGAAGTTGTAATCACATGTAACTTTCAAACTAATTTATGCTTTTCTAACTTCTGATCATGTAATTTATTTTTTTTTTCAGTTAGAGGATATAAAACTTATGGAATATTGAACACTAATACATCAGTAACTAACAACTGTATATAATTTCTTTTTCTGCTTGGAATAGTCAGCATTTGGATACAGATAGATTCTTCAAGAACATAAGAGTATCATCAGATCTCCAATAAATTAGTAAGAATCTTATTATAAAATTCAAAGGGCTGGAGATCAAGCTGAATACAGAAAATCAAATATATCCTCAGGTAAACAAAATCCAAGGAAGAAATTTCAGGACAAAAAAATGAAAACTGATAGAAGTAAGTGATCTTACAAAGCTGGAAGAGAGCTGCACAGAGATGTTTACATCTTAATCTTCTCAATATGTCAATCCGCTTACTGGAACACATCCTTCTCCTTAAAGCAAAGTATGTTCCTCCAAAGTCCACCAAATTAAATGTGTTATGGGTGGGAGCATCCCTCTGAGAAGTTGGTAAGACTGGAACGTAGTTCATGTTTTTCTCTGGGCATGAACCAGCAGAAATGATTCATAAAAAGTGACCCTGGGAGCACTTCCATAGCTTGTTTAGGTAAGGGGTCAGCAAGTAGATCAGTAAGACTAAAATGTAATGATATGTTAAAATATTCCTGATCTTTTCAATGTAGATGGGAATTTGGACACCCAATGATTTCAGGGTTAAAAAAGGTAGACATGGACACTAAAATGGGTTAGTATTCAATATTACAGTGAGTGCAGTATATGGAGAAACCATCGTGAAACAATTTTTCTTGTGTAGATGCAAATGTAGGATCAGTAACTAAAGCACTTATATCTCCTAGGAGGGTTTGGGAAATTAAAAACTGTCACTGAGGAGTGGTTATACATTCAAATGATTTTGCTGTCATATGAAAAAATGTTCAAAAATATGATTTAAGGCTTGCTGCCTGTTTGCAAAAGTATATGGTTTTCAACAGAATGTTGACTTCAGTGGGGCTATTTTCATAGACTATCACCAGGGAAAAATGTTCCCATGTCAGTCTTTGTTCCCATGTCAGTCATTTGTCAGTGAAGGTTTTGATCCTTTGCCAAGGAAGGAATGTGCCACAGATTCATGAACAAATATATTTCTGTATTAGAAAATAATGAAGAATGTTTTTTGGGGTTTTTTTTTGGTTTTTTTTACAAGTATTGAAACAAACATTAGTTTTGAGTGATAACTGATTCGATGAAGCAGGAGCTAAACAGTCACTGTTACATGCTAAATTTTTTGCATACAGTTGCAACATATCTAGCATGTTTATTGTACATTTTGAGAAAATGCTGAGTCAAAATACACATAGTTAATAAACATGGATTAAAAGGTCTGAATTAAATTCGCAGTCAAATATACATGAATGCGTATGCACTTGGTTGACACTACTGGCATTTTCCTGTTCCATCATAGTCCCATTTGATAAACACTGATATTTAAAGACTGATGACTTCCATTATGTCCTCAATATTTCTCATTAAAGTCTGCGAATAAAAATATTTCCTGAAGTCAGGTAGGTCCACCATGAATTGGTACTGAAAGTATGTGTAATGACTGACTGCATCTTAGACCATGTCTGCACAGGAGCTTTCTTATTGGTACATGAGTCTGGTTGATTTTATGTTTTCTAATGTGGCAGGAAATACATCAGTAAAATCAATATTTTGCATCTGTATTACAGCTCTCTTGTCCCTTTTACTTCAGGAAAGTAGGCTATACTAGTAAATGAGAGGTTTTGTTGGCAGGGGTTTACTTGTGCTGAAGTCTGCTGAACACAGCCATGTTGGTTAGCAATCATGTCGCCACAGCCTTAGCCAAGACAGATGTAGCAATTATTTATCAAAGCATTTTTTCTTTGCCAGATGTAGAGAGTAAGTGGTTCTTGTAAAAGGGTCAGTGCTCACTGTCACCTGTTGAGGTATAACACAGATGGAGCACATACAACCTCCTTTTTCACTACTGTACTTCAGAGCCGCTTTTGTGGAAGCCCCAGACACCAGGCAAGACAATGTTTTCACTTCCTTAGGCTGAGCACACCATCTGTGAAGTCACGTCAGTGCATGGTAACTTATATGATCTGTATGATAAGAAGCTGTCAGCACTTTATATATTTTTCCAGATAACCCACCCAAACTAGCATCTCTTTTCAATATTTTTCACAGCATCAGTTATCTGTTACAGTGACAGACTTGAAACATTTTATTTCTTTTTACTGAGCTCTTTGCCACTGAGTCTCACTGTCAGCAGCCCTTTGGGTTGTCTGAGAGTTACTGAAGAAGCTTTCTTACCTAACCGAGCTGCTGCCAGCATCAAGGTCTTGTGCTGTCACTGCACCTATAATGGTCCCCACAGGCGTATCTTCATAAACCTCCATTGTGTACACAGGCTTGCTGAACACTGGAGGTTCATCCATGTCCAACACATTTATCTTCACAGTGGCAGTATCTTTGAATGGACCCACAGACTGAAACCGATGGTCAAGATGGAGATTGGAGGCCTCGACTTTAAAGGTATATGCCTTTTTTGTTTCAAAGTCTAAGGGCTGTAAAAAGAACAAACGCAAAACATCAGATTTGACTAAAAATTAAACATTGCAAAATCACTTTTGTAGGATTAATCTCACATAAGTTAAGATGCCTTCAGTGTAAACTTTGCCTCCTGAGCTAATCATCTAAATGTGTTTTGCAGTTCATCTCATGCTAAGGTGATTTCTGAAATAGGCCAGATGAATCATATCCAGGAAATGACTATTTCTCCACATCAAAATAATCAGGATGACTGGCATGGATGTAAACAGTTACACTGTAGATGTCTGAAGTTAAATGAGTGAAATTCAACTCTTGCAAATGAGCTGTGTGCAGGTTATCCAGAGATTTGCACTCACAACTCCCACACACAGGCAACCAGCTGTCTCTAGCTGATCTAGTTCCTTAAATAGAAGATTTCAATTTCTTTTAGCAGGGAAAGCTTTCAGAGCACCATGACAATGATGGAAATGGGCCCAAATGAAAACTCTTATATGTACCAATGAGTCAAACCAAACTTCAGGTATGGCTTGGAATTTGAATTCAAACTTGATCTGAATCAGGTTTTTCCTGTAAAACGTCTAACTTAGCAGTGAACTGCTATTCACGCCATATATTTGAGCCACATGTACATTGAAAAATGCAGACTTTGACTCTGTCTAATGATCCTAGTTGTAATCCACAAGGTCTGGAAGGCAGCATAGCAGCTTTTGCATACCTATCTGGGTTTCTGGGGTTTTGATGGAAATGCATCCTGCAATCAGATTGTTTTGGTGTGGGTTTCCATCAATGTACATCAATTTAATGCCTTTGGTTTTAGAAAAGTAATCATCTCAAAAAACCTTAATGCACTGTTATTTAGTTAAAAAGTCACAGAAGCTTTATTTTCAGTTAAAGGGTTTAGCTTTCATGTTGTTTTTAATGTCACTGACAGTCTTTTCCTGATGTCTGGGTAACACTGGCACCTAGTGGTTTCTGTCTATAATTGTCAAATTAGAAATTTTCTAACGGGAAAGGATATGCTATCTGGAAAAGAGAGCAGGATCACAAGTGTATGAGCAAGAATATTTCAATGTCTGTATTTTTTTTTTTTTTCCTTCAGCCATCATTACCGCAGTGTTTCCAGTCATTTGTCACAGCCAGGATAGATTTAAATTCTGCCATTTTCTGTCCTTATCACAACAGGACATAATTGGCCAGATGACTGGCTGGTGTAAATTGAAGTAGCTCCATTAAAATCAGTCGAGTTACCTTGACTTCCATTAGCTGAACAGCTAGCATAATGATTTTAAATGCTTATGAAAGACTTCATAATTTTAATAGACTAGATGGTCAGTCTTTTCTGAGCTGGGGATTTAAAATTAGCCATCCAAGTCTATATTCCATAGAATATAGAAATAGAAATAGTCAGGTTTGAAAGTCAAGTACTACTAACCAATCCACTACCACATGCAGCCATCCTCCTACAGACAAAATTCCCATTAACACCCAGTATGAGTTGTACCTTCGTGACTGGACTGACAGAAAGAAGAAGAAACCAAGGCTAAGAAGAAACAGACAAATTTAAGTGCATAAGATCTTGTGCCCCAGTACTAAAACCCTTCAAGTTGCCTTCACTACAAGTAGACATGCTGCTTTGTTAACCAAACTGTTGTCAGACTGCCTTTGCAGTCTATATGTGGTATATAATTTATATATAGAGTGAAGTCATGTTCACTATTATGCATTGCACAAAAATCCCCCCAACCAAACAACAGCCCCCCCCCCCCCCC